CCTGGAGTGCGTTGTGGTGCGAAGCAGAGCTTGTCCATGGTCATCTGGCACAAGGATGTGCTTAGCTCCCCATCTTGGTGCAACAGCACAGAGTGTCCATGGGTCCAGCTTCCCCTCCAGCGAGGCTGGGCTCCAGGGTGTCAGGGTAGGCAGAGGGTAAGACTGCCCCAGCTGTGCAGAAGCTGAAGCAAGCTCAGAAAGTCCCTTTAGCTGCATCCCAAAGGTCCCACTCTTCCCGACTGGAGCGGAGTCCTGCCTGGTTGGAGCTTGGGTGAGATGAGAGGTGCAGGACAGGCTCCGGGAATGCAGCAGTGTTTCGGAAGCTCAGGTGTGAAGCTGTTCATAAAAGCAGAGCCATGTGGGTTAATTTAAGTAATTCACAGCTGAGGCACTTAGATAACTCTGGTTTGTCCTCTGTGACCACCAGGGATCATTAGCACCATTAGGCTTTGAGTGTTTGTCTTCCCAGATCACACTGAACACCTGGGATTAGTTTGCAAATGCCGGTTCTTTACACTTCTGCAGCTCAGGAGCAAGGTGATGAGCAGCTTCTTGCCTCCATCCCCAGGCAGGATTTACACCCAGCAGGTGATGGGCTGAGCTTGTGTTAAAACAACCTGGAAAAGCCTTTCCCGTTGTGCAATCTGGCTGTTGTGCAGAGCGCCGGGGATGTGGAGCAGTGCTGGCTGTCAGTGGGGATGAAGCAGAGCAGACATCCCTCCGGGATGGGATCTTTCCAGTGCAGCCGGCCCTGGGAAAGGCAGCCAGTTAAAATAACAGTTTATTCTGCCTGGTGTCTTGTGGGATGATGGAAGGATCCCAGAGCAGCCTTACCGGGGTTCCTGCTTTATGTCATGGGAGGGGGCTGCTCTCCCAACTGAGGATGTTCTAGGTTTTTCACCGTTTTCACTACTTACTTGGGCCCTTTTCCCTGCCTGTCTGCAAAGTCCAGGAATTGGATGCATCCCTTGTTTTTCCTATCCATTTCCCTTTACCTGCGTATGGAAAAACAAATTAAAGGCAGGGAGGGAAAAGTAAAATTAGTTTACAACATAAGAAATGTGGCTCGAAGGAAGTTATTTGTAGCAGAAAGCTGGGCCCAGGTGTGATGCTCATCATTATCCCCCGCAGTGGGCACCGTGCCATTATCCTTCCCACATCACTTGGTGGCAGAAGTGTCTCCCATAAGGGAAATCTGATTTTATTGTAGGGAAGCTCCTGAAATGGTGGGAAAAACAGTGTTTCGGTATCCACCCTGCAAGATGTTTGCTGCTGTGGGTCATGCACCGGGTCTGAGTGGGAGGGTGTCGCTTCATGCCTCAGTTTCCCCAAAGCAGAGCGGGATGCGATACCTTACTGGAGAAGCACCAGCTGCTAAAGGGCTGTGCTGGGAATTTCTGACCCTGTTTCAGCAG